AATTCAACTTTGGTGAGAATACTCTTTTATTACCATTTCAAGGATTGTTTTTTACCCAAAAAAGAAGAAAACTGAAAATTAATCAGGTTAAAGTATAACTACTGGCCTGCATTTACCAGTAAGTACAAACTCTCCACAAGTACCACTTAACTCAGTCTTCCCACGGCAGTTTCTGTTTATGACCGTGCTCTTGTTTAAGTTGACTCCTGTGCTACTACCACACGCCAAATCCGGTCGTTGGTACTTGCTGGCTTGTGTAGCCACTAGGTAACAAAAACTTGACACTGCGCCTAGCATCCTGGAGAACTTCTGTGTTTTGTTGCTTCGGAGTTTGTACGTGCCATGGAGTTTTTATGTGTTTTGGAATTTTTACGTGTTTTGGGGTTTGTACGTGCTATAGAGTTTTGACGTGTTTTGGAATTTTTACGTGTTTTGGGGTTTGTACGTGCTATGGCGTTTTTACGTGTTTTGGAATTTTTACGTGTTTTGGGGTTTGTACATGCTATAGAGTTTTTATGTGTTTTGGAGTTGTACGTGCTATAGAGTTTTTACGTGTTTTGGAATTTTTACGTGTTTTGGGGTTTGTACGTGCTATGGCCTTTTTATGTGTTTTGGGGTTTGTACGTGCTATAGAGTTTTTACGTGTTTTGGAATTTTTACGTGTTTTGGGGTTTGTACGTGCTATGGCGTTTTTATGTGTTTTGGGGTTTGTACGTGCTATAGAGTTTTTACGTGTTTTGGGGTTTGTACGTGCTATAGAGTTTTTACGTGTTTTGGAATTTTTACGTGTTTTGGGGTTTGTACGTGCTATGACGTTTTTGCGTGTTTTGGAATTTTTACGTGTTTTGGGGTTTGTACGTGCTTTGTCTCTAGCAGGCACCATAAATATACTTTTATTTATTCACTCCACATAAAATATAATAAATAAATCATATAATACAAAAACCAACTATTTACATTTCAACTTTTAACTATTTAAATTTTCAGCTTTTTCCTTTTAACCCTTAGATGCACACGTGGGGTCAAAAATTACCGCATGGGTTGTTTTTCTTCAAAATCTTTAAAATGAAAAGTTGTAATATATTCATATTCCAGGTACTCCTCATAAAATATGTTTGTAACATGAAGCCATTTCTATTTTTATTTATTTTTTCATTAATTTAAAAAAAAAAAAGTGCAGTTTTTGTATCACTACCCCACTCTTCGACAAGTGGGGTCAAAAATGACCCCAAGCAGTTCCTATGGAATCTTCTATGAAACTTTCATTGTTAGCGACAAATAAAGAGGGTCTCGTACATTTACGAGCATTTAATTTCCTGGCTTTAATGGTTTAAAAGTTTAATAGGTCTTTGAACTTGATAATAAAATTGAGTCCATTATTAGCAAAAAGAATGAAAAAAGAGCAAAAAAAATGCTTAATAAATAATAATTGTTTTAAACTTAAGCTTTGTAATTGTAGCAGATTTCAGTATGTCTGTAATTTGTTATTTAGCCCCACATTAGTAAAAGCCATAAATGGGAGTTAGATTACTAGTATTTTACACAGCATTCAACTATATAGTAACATGTTCTGCATTTTCCTACTTCACCATCTGATCTGAACAGCTGCACTCTCTTAATAAATTAATAACCAAGCATTTCTCAGTAACCAATAACTAGATGGAACAGCACAGTATCTAAGAGAGAGATCAGACAGTGTTTGAACTAAAGAAGCTGTGTGTTTCTTTTGGGGGCTTTTTGCACACTGATCCACCAACGTTTTCCTATAGTACAATGCATATCTGGTAACATTACCGTAAACGTGACCAGTAGGTTCAGGTTCAGATCAGAAAACCGTTTCAGCTGCAGGCATCTACTGCAGTAATTTAAGCAATCACCTCATACGCCTCATGTTTTACACCCATATGAGTTGAGCTTGCTACACTGCACATGAATATTACGTGACATGGCATGACTAGCTCATGTTCAAACATTTAAGATACTGTTCAGCCATTTTGTTTACTGGGTAGTGCATAATGGCCAAGTTACCTGAGTGGGAATCCAGTAAAGCAAAAAAAGAAAAAAAAATTTAAGATAAGATACCTTTATTAGTCCCACAAGGGGAAATTTCATGTTAATTAATTACAAATGCCTTATAGGAAAACCTAAGAAAAGGTTACAGAAGTACAGAAAAAAAACTGCCGTGTACGTTATAGTATGTAAATTCAAAAACTGTAGAGAATGGCGGAATGAAAAGAGAATAAGAAAAAATGGACTTTATTAAGTAGAATATAGGCAGTAAGAGTTTTGTAATTAACTTTTAATTATGTTTGCCAAAGACAATGACAGTAAATTAACCCAGTTTTACCTGCTAGCTAAAGATGTTATGCTTCTCCCCCTTAGGGGACTAGCAAAAGCGCTATACAAATACAGGCCATTTACCATTTATACCGTTTAGGACAACTACAGAAAGTTACTAAAATAATCATTGATGAAAACTTATCAAACTTTCAGTATTTAGCTTTGTCATAGTTTTCGATTCTTTGGTATCCTTTTGTCCTCCACGTTCTCAAACACCAGGGAGAGAAAAGGCCGCAACTGACAAAAGACCGCGAAGACTAGACGCTAGGCGGTGCAATCTGCTCCTCCCTCTTTTTAAACGAGCCAATAGGAGCTGCTCACATTAAAAACAACTTTATTTAAAAAGTAATTTTACACCTGATACAAACATTTTAAAAGTCAAACAATACACAAGTTTAAAAGAAAAAAACTATTTTTAAGAGTTTTTTAAGCATAGGGATGGTTAATATGTTTAGAAAATTAATATATAATATTTGTCAAATAATTGTCACCCAAATCAACATCATAATAAAATATAATTAATAAAATATATAATAACGATGATAAGAAGAAGAAGAATAACAACAGAAACAGTTTACCTAAAAGCTCTTCTAACATTAGACTGCTTTTGAAAAGTTTCAATAGTGTCAATACACCATAAGGACAAGGGAGTTACACAGTTGAAGTGTGACTGCTTGAAAGACCCCATTCCCTCTCCTTTCCACTAGTTGAAAGAAAATATAAATTATTTCTGGTTACATAATTTGAGGGCACAAGTTTGAAGAGTAACATTTTAACAGATCGGTAATATACTTAAGGAGCTTTACTGGATCTGATTAACCAAAACTTCCAACTTCCATGTACTGTCTTTTCTCTAATACAGTAGAGTGTATCTGATTTACTAAAAATCCTCAACTGCATGTTTGCTCAAGTAAATAGTCTTAATTGTTTGAACAACCAGTAATCCTTAATTTGCAAATGCCAAATCTGGATTTTGTCTATGTAATTCACTTTTATCTTAGGTTTTTTATTTGTATTTTTTGCTTTCTTTTTTTCTACTCTTGTGTCTGTTTTAATCACTTATTATTGCTGCTGTGACAAGTGAATTTACCTAAGAAGAATCATGAAGTCCTTATTTTATCTTATCTGAGCCTCACCATGCAGCCTACCATGCAGATTACTGAAAGTTCAAATTAAGTACTTAAAATGAAATCTAAAATTAAAAAGTAACTAGTTTCAAACCAGTTATTTGGAATAGTGTGCGGAGTGTTTTGAGTAACATTGAATGTTCAAAAACACCAAAGTTCCTATAGTCTCACTTGACAGCTGGGTTGTAGTGTCTGATAACACATAACATCTTGATGTCTTAACGTGGACTTTGAGTACATTCGCTAGCCAAGGCTAAATACTGAGAGGGTCAAAAATGAAGGGTAAAGAACATCTGACTGTACGTAAGGATAGCAAAAGTGATAGACTGAGGTTGTGCCAAATATGTTAAAGTTAGGGT